ACGCTATGGGAAAATATAACGAAGCTTTAGAAATTTATTATTCTGTTGAAAAAATACAAACTGAAATTTTAGGTATCAACCATCCAAATACAATGTCAATAAAAAATAATATCGCAGGCTGTTTGAACGATATGGGAAAATATAACGAAGCTTTAGAAATTTATTATTCTGTTGATAAAATAAAAACTGAAATTTTAGGTATCAACCATCCAGATACAATGAGAACAAAACATAATATCGCAAGCTGTTTGAACGATATGGGAAAATATAACGAAGCTTTAGAAATTTATTATTCTATTGAAAAAATACGAACTGAAATTTTAGGTATCAACCATCCAAATACAATGACAACAAAAAATAATATCGCAGGCTGTTTGAACGCTATGGGAAAATATAACGAAGCTTTAGAAATTTATTATTCTGTTGAAAAAATACGAACTGAAATTTTAGGTATCAACCATCCAAATACAATGTCAACAAAAAATAATATCGCAGGCTGTTTGTACGATATGGGAAAATATAACGAAGCTTTAGAAATTTATTATTCTGTTGAAAAAATACAAACTGAAATTTTAGGTATCAACCATCCAGATACAATGACAACAAAAAATAATATCGCAGGCTGTTTGAACGCTATGGGAAAATATAACAAAGCTTTAGAAATTTATTATTCTGTTGAAAAAATACAAACTGAAATTTTAGGTATCAACCATCCAGATACAATGAGAACAAAAAATAATATCGCAATCTGTTTGAAAGCTATGGGAAAATATAACGAAGCTTTAGAAATTTATTATTCTGTTGAAAAAATACAAACTGAAATTTTAGGTATCAACCATCCAAATACAATGACAATAAAAAATAATATCGCAATCTGTTTGAAAGCTATGGGAAAATAAAACGAAGCTTTAGAAATTTATTATTCTGTTGAAAAAATACAAACTGAAATTTTAGGTATCAACCATCCAAATACAATGACAACAAAAAATAATATCGCAATCTGTTTAAGAAATCTTTTATTCAATAATTTATTGCAGTTATTAAAAAAAAGTTGAACTAGCTGTTAATTTTATTGATTATTATTTTATTTAGTTAGTAATTATAGTTATAGTAATATTTATATATATATACATATATATATATATATATATATATATATATATATATATATATATATATATATATATATAAAATATATTTATACATATATATATATATATATATATATATATATATATATATATATATATATATATATATATATATATATATATATATATATATATATATGCTGGTTTAAATGATTAAAGTAATAAGTATTATACTCCCTATGGGGATTGAAAACCGTTTTTTAATAGGAATTGTTTGGAATGTTTAATTAAAATATTAAGTAATTGCTGCTCTCATGATAATAAACCACTTATTGTATAAGATAAATTTAGTGTTATTAAAGTTTACAATATACAATTTAAATGATAAGTAATATGTAAATGTAGTAGTAAACATAGAACATTTTTGTTAGTTTTCGTCATGTTTTACTTGGTATTACGATTATAGTTTAACACTATGTGAAAATTTTTTGAAATAAATTACGCGCATAAAAACTTTAAAAATCTGTGCGCAAAAAAGTCAAATACCGTATACGATCACTTTCTACTACGGTCATAATGAATTTCATCAATATTAATGAAGAAAAATAATGAAAGAAAGTTTTTTTGTGGCTAAATTTTTTTTATCTAAATGGGTAATTATTTGAAACTTTCTTGTATATATAGCATAGGTTTTTTGGAAACATTCTTATACCCAATAAACTGAACAACAATTGAACGGCCAATTACATGCAATAAAATGGTAATAGAAGCAATTCAAATATATATATATATATATATATATATATATATATATATATATATATATATATATATATATATATATATATATATATATATATATATATATATAAGTTTAATTTTGCTGTGAGCATATATTTAGCAATAGTTCTCGATGAATGTTATCAGAGCTAAATAACTGATTTTTTTGACGAGATTAAATAAAAAATAATTACATAATTTTTACTACTAAAAGATTCATGCGTTTAGCAATCATCAGGTAAAAATACATTGTTTTTTCTATCACATCAAAATATCTAATTAATGCAATACTGTTTGCAAAAAAAACACAATGTTTATTGATTCAGATGTTCTCTTCGCTAATACTTAGCGAACAGAATATCAGAATCATTAAACATTGCAGAAAGTCCTTGCTATTTTTTAACAACGAAACATGGAAAAAAAAAACTTAGCACACGACTGCTTTGATGTCACAATGGGCTGTTTTGATGGTACAGAAGTTTATGAACTGGTGAGCCTATATATATTAGACTCACTATCTAAAATAATAAATAAAGAAGACGTTGGACTATATCGTAACGATGGGAGCGCGTCGAATAACCGAAAGACCAATTCCGACGATTAGTCGATCTCAAAAAACTGGATCACAAAATGATAGCCTACGAAAAAACATAATTAAAATTATTAAAATAATCGGGAGCGCGTCGAATAACCAAAAGACCAATTCCGACGATTAGTCGATCCCGAAACCCGAAAATAGAAGAAACACTTTCCGATTCCAGTCGAAAGTCATTTTAACTGCAAAAAAATAACATGTCTACTATTATTCACTGGTTGCCACTAATAATAGTAGAATTCTTTTAAATTTTGTCATAATCTGTTTAATACACGAATTTTGTACAGTCCAAAAAATAGTCGATACCCTAAATTTTGTCAATTTCTGTGTTTTAGTTGAATTCTGCCACTATCTGTTAAATAAACGAATGACAAATACCTGATTTGAGTCGAATTTTTTCTGAAGAATTGGTGGACTTGTTAAATCATCGAAATACGTATTGGCAAAGAATACAAACAGTCGAAAATGTTTTCGGCTATTATACGGGTATGCCACTATTTTTAGTAGAAAGACAAAAATACATTGTCCAAGTCCGTTAACCAGTCGAAATTAAAATTCGGCTATTCTCTGTGGCTGCCACATAAACCAGTCGACGGCTATAAAAATTTGGCAGCGTCAAACCTCAACAGCCCTAAAAAATGGTAATGTCTGATCCTGCGCGAACGCATCAGTTCATCATTGGGTACGGACCTTTGTAAGGGCCCGGAGGCAAAGTTGTCTGAAAGTTTTATCCAGGCCATCAATAACGCATCCATCCATCGATTGGCTACAGTTTGTTTTTGCCTTTCATTTTGTTGTTACCTGGATGCAAGTTACTTCTCGTTGTCGTAATATTACTAATGGTCAGTTCATTTGATTTAATTCAAGTTTAAATTCAGTAGATTATCAAAGAAAACATAAATACTTGGTCTATCTCATTAGTTGCGATGTGCGCCATCTGTTGATCTTGAAGATCATGGACAAGTCCATAGATAGCGCCCTCTGGAGATAGATCATAAAAATGACAAAGGTTGATGGCACAGGTCCAGGCAAATGTCGAGACCATTAAAAATAAGCAAATAACCATTAGGTTCTATTCGCCATTAAGGAAGATACTTTAAATTATGACAATCACATTAACCGTCTATAACGTTTAATACTAAACCAATGAGTATTTTACTATTTTGAATGCATTTCATACATTACTACTTTAAAGTACAGGCAGGGTCTTCGTAACTAATAGTATGGACAATGGATAATTTGCTAAAAGTTATGTTGACAGTGGGGCCATAGTTAATTAAATAGTTTTTATTTAATTAAAAATGGTTTAGTAATTCCAACGCCATCTTACAAAAAAAGAACAAGGTTTAAGATCGTGAATATTCTCACAATCTCAAAATATGGATTCTTCTTATTACTCAAAAAAAATAAAAACAATCTCGACCTGGCATCGGATTGGAACCCAGGACCTTTCAATCATGTGGCCGGTACTCTGCTGCCGATGCCAGCTTGAGATCGCAAAATTTATGAATGGTTTTTTCACAATGATAAAAGACAAATAAAAGAAACATGGTTATGAATCATTTATTGTACTTATTATGTTTACGAACAACTTATTTTCTTCCGGCTTGCATTTGTCTGACTTTTCTTGAGACAATACGTCTTTTGTCGACTATCTTATTGGCGGTGTCCTTCAATCCTCTTTCTAATAGAAGCCATTTGTGAAGTTCTGATTTGTTTCTTCGGTTTTGTCTGATTTTTCTGGCAACTATACGTCTTTTGAAGTATAATTTCCTTTCAATCTTCTTCAGTACTCTGTCGACTTGAAGCCAGATCTCAAGGGGTCCCATCTTAAGCCTGTTAGCTGTAGTGAAGTTGTTTAGTCTTTTTTCAACTTCAAGCCTGTCCTGAATCAGGAGGTCTTTAAATAGTGGGTCCGGTGCAATGCTTGTTGTTTTTGTAGTATTTATGACTGGCCAAAGACCAAATGTCAAAGGCCAAAGACCAAAGATGTTCATGGTGAAAAAATTTAGCTTCAACTACAAATAGTTAACTGTTCGTCTGAATAACGCGGATAAACTGGCGTACATTTAGCGTTAGCATCTTATCAGTTGTCCAAAATAAATATGAGTTACGAATAACTCCCCCCAGATTGAGCACAGTGTTTTAAAAAATAACAAAAACAGATCAACCGCTTGTGAAACGGCCTATTTTTCGCTGGGGGGAGTTTGTACAAATCAGCTGACCAGTTTATCCTGACCCATTAATTCCCTTAGTCCCTTAAGGCGTTTCTCTCTCTCTCTTTATGAATGTTTTTTTAAACAAAAAATAAAACCTAAATTTCGAATCCCTGTCAGGAATCGAACACCGGTCGTCCGGGTGAGAAGCGAGTACTATAACCACTAGACAGGAACCCCAAAGAGGTTCCAAAAAATGAAGTATTTTACAGAGACCCCTAAGGGGTTAGCCTACAAAAGTTTCTTCTTCACCCGCGGTACAAAATGTACAAAACTCGGGAAATCATAAAAGTGTTATCAAAGGTACAATCTGTTTATTTAGTCAATTTATAAGAAAAATACATGAAAAATGAAAGTAGAATAATAGTAAATAGAAAGCCATTTCCAGTCAATTTTTTGTAAAAATAATAGGAAATAGAAAGCCATTTCCAGTCAATTTTTTCAGGCGTAGAACAGCCGATGTCGTGAAGTAACCCGTGTCCTACATACGGGGCACAAATAGACGCCCTCGGGTTCATCGTCAAGTCCTTGGGCTTCGAGAAGGGCTGCACATGTTGAACACACGCAGACATGCCCGCACGGCAGTAGTATTGTGTCCTTGGGGCTCGCCATGCAAATGCAAGACGGTTCTGCTGCTGGACCTGCGGCGGAGATATGCGGCGGCGTGACCCGGTTGCTGTTGTCTATCTGCCTGTGGCCCTGCGGCTGCCAGGAATGCGTCATCATCTCCGTGTCTGAAAGTATTGAACATTTTAAAGATAAGTTATTAATGAACACATTTTAAAGATAAGTTTCATATGAAATTAATCAACATCGTATTATAAATAGAAATTACTAGAAAATGATTGAAATTATACTTGGTATACTTACTCGTCAAAGACTTCGTCGTCGCCATCCTCATCATCGGCGTAGCCATCGGCGGCCATTTCTGCTGCCAGCTTTGCATCGGCCTCATCCTGATCTTTTTCATTCGGAAGAACCGGAGTGGGCACTCTGTGGGCCATAAAATGGAGGTGTTGAATGGGGGTGATTTCCCCATTGGCCAGTCGCTCCTCCTGATTCTTCACAGTTCTGGCCGCTACCTGGTTCGATATTTTGATGTTCCTCCGGATCCTGATGTTATTGTCCAACTGTAGGACATCGATCTTCGCTGGCTCGATGACGAACATCCTCAGATCTGAAAGGAATCTCCAGATTGTCGACGCCTTTGCCAGCTTCAAAGACATTCTGAAAAATTTGGGAAAAGTTATAAATAATGAACAACAAAAATAACCAGATCGTGAATATTTTCACATTGTTAACTCAAAAAAATTGTTAAGAAATAACTCACTTCTTATGGAGACTTTCGCAGACGTTGTTGGTCTTATGTGCAAGACCGTACGTAGAGATCAGCTGGGGCCCGATGCCTTGGAACCACCACTTTAAGAAGTAATTCCTGTGCATTATCTGGACTTGCTTCCGGAGCCTGAGTGGTTGTAAGTGGAGCACATCTTGCTTCAGCTGTTGAAATACCGGTACCATTTGGTTCGCCGGTAGAGTGCTTAGGGCCATGTGTTTGAGCATCAGATTCCTAAACTCAACATTTTTATAGAAATCCTCCTTGTTGCAAGCACACACTTTCCGGAGAACTAAAAAGAAGTAAATAACAAAGATAAATAACGTGTTAAAAATCAATTAAATGGTTAAAATATTATTTACCTGCTTGGCTGAAGTGAAATCTGCATCCAGACACTCTCGATTCCGGAAAGGCAGTTTGCATGGTGTTCAGGATAGCCCGTTCGTAGTCCGACATCACACTTTTTGGCTTGAAGTCTGATCCAACCAAAGCTTTGAACCGCTCCATGATCTGGCCGTAGAGTGCTTGCTCCTTGCATGTCATTAAGACATGCATCACCGCGACAGAGTAATCTTTGTAGATGACAATGATGTTCAACAGTTGAGAAAAGATATCGTGGTGAGGCCGTGTTTTAAAGGTGGCATCGACGAAGAGTTCTTGAGTCTCTGAAACAAATACCCAAAATTATAAATTTGCTTAAAAGTAATTGTACAAAGATAAAAAAGTTGTTGTATCTAACCCCTTTAAAACAATTTAAAATTACCCAAAATGATAAATTTGATAGAACATAGTATCAAAACAACTCGCAAATTAAAGCAGTGTACTCACTTTCAACGAGAGCGAGAAGTTTTGGGTCTGCAAAAATGAATCCGACCTTCCCATCTTCGAATTCGACGAAACCTTGGTAGATGTCTTTGAACGAATGTCCATTGTCGAGAGCTTTCTTCATTTCTGCCAGATTCTTGGGAATCGGAGGCAGGTTCTTCCTCCGCTTATTCCTCATGATGGACTCGGCAGCCTCGAACTTGAGGTTTTTCTTCACGGCCTCAGTCGACTGGCTAAGGACAGAGTTCCAAATGTCCCTCAGCGGTTCGGTAGTTTGCCCTAGAATAAAATGAATTTTTATTTAAAGATTTTAATTAAGTTAAAAATGTTAAAATTCAATTATTCACATTGGCAGACAAATGTTTTCAGTCGAAATATGGCTTAATAAAAAATTCAAAAACAAATATTACCAGCTCGAAATTTCATCCGTGCCTTGGCCTGCAAAATAAGGTACTCATCACTCATGTCGCCACATGAGTGATCCTTCTCCAGGTACAGGGTATCGTCCTTAATCCTTGCAGTACCACCACATGAACCTAACAGGGTTAAATGGGGATCCCGTTAAATGCTAAGATACAATCATGATAATGGTAATGATAATAATTCTAAGATCGTGAATATTTTCACGAGTTAAAAAAAGTATCCTATTAAACAATTAAAAATTACCTCTTTTCACCGTGTAGCGATGGCACTTTAAATAAGTCGTTGGTCGAGCGTCTGTGCCATCCTTCGACAACACATACGCTTTTTGGAACTCGTCGAACCAGATAGTTGGGGAGCCTTCCATTTCATATCTGGTGTAGTTCCGGACTTCAACAACATTATGAAAGCGAGCTGGTCCAACCACTGGTTCTTGCACTTGAGCCTCTGGTGCTTGTCGAGGCTCGACCTCCATCGGCATCGCAGTCTCCACCTCCTCGACCTCCATTGCAACAGGTGCCTGAGCTTCGACCTCCTCAACGGTGTCGTCCAGCCTCAATTCGAATGCAGACGTTGTCCCACAGACATCAAAAGCCGTCACGAAAATGGTTGCTATTTCATTGTTGGTAACTAATTTTTTTTTAAGTACAAATCGTGGTAGACTATTTTCAACGTTCAACCACAGACTTCAAAAGTGTTGGGAATTAATTAGACGAAAGCTAAAATCTGAGATGACCCATACAAATACAACGCGACACATGTACCCTTAAGGGAAAAAAAAAAATATATATATAAAACCTAATAACCTACTCAGTACTCGAACATAATAATATGAAGTCATTGTACTTACAAGAATTTATGTTATGTAAATAGGTAGATAATACTAAGTCAAAGCCAAACATGTATAATTGAGTCCTAGTATAAGGCTAAGTACATGGCTAAGTAATAATTTCAAAACAAAAAATATAAAATACGAAAATTATGAGCTGTTATTCATTAAAATAAGTAATAATAAATCAAAAGAAGATAAAGTTAACCTTACCATAGCTTTGTTAAACGAGAAAAGAGAATTCATAACATGTGCAAATTAAAAAACTAAAGTGCATCACATGTATGACTTAAGTTGCGGTAAAATGGTGAAAAGTGGAAACAATAGAAAATATGCATTTTGAGTAAAATTTAAGAAGATTTTTATGTGATTCTTAAATGCAAGCCGATTGGTTGACAAAATTGTCAGGTGTTTTATGATTGTTGTTCTGAGTTTGGAAGAGACAAATTTAAAGAAACGAGTAAAAAATATTCATTAAAAAACAGATTCTTGGAGCACTATTATATTTCAAAACCTAATTTTACAGAACATCAATTCCCGATGCTGACCCTTCGTCTTTCAAGAAGGCGGCAATCGACAGCCAATTTTCTTGTTGCTGCTTAGCAGCCCTGCAAAAGTTACTTCCGCGCCTTTTTCTTGTCACCCTAGTTTTTTTTCGGGGCATAGTGTGGAGACAAATCCCTCTTTAATTACCTCGTTGCTCGGTGTCCTGTCTTTTATTTTAATATTGGGGCATGGTGTAGGGATAATGTCCTCTTTATTGTTGGTCGGTGTCGTGTCAGCTGTTTGAGGGTTCTACGGAGAAAGATACACATGTACATATGCACACAAACATATACACACATAGATACAGCCATACATATATACATCGATAGACACACATAAATGTATGAACCCACCCAGATACATACACACACATACATACTTTCATACATACACACAGTAGCTCTTACTATTATGGTTTTACCCAAAGGTTAAACTCACAGAGCAGCATTAGAGAAGACAGCTGACCGATTTACCAATCGGTGATCGGTCCTCATTGCTAGCACCTTACACAGGGACTAGAGTAGCTGAACCGCATCAAAAGATGCAGTCGAATGAGTAATAGCTGGATTGATCACTATAATGCAGTTAAAGATTCCGCCATGTTGGACAGCAGCCAGAAGAACCAATTAGAACGAACCGTACAGTCGGGTAACCTGAAGCAAATACGGTTCATTTGCCTACTGGCAAGAAGTTCCAATTGCTGAAGCCCTACACAAGGAATAAACAGGCAGAACAGCATGAAAGAACACAGTAGAATGAGTAATGACTCAATCGACTGCTAATGTGCAGTTAAAAATTCAGCGGCGCTCGATGGCAGCTCAGAGAACCAATTAGAACGAATCTTACCCTCGGTTTACCCAATAAAAATACGATTCGTTTACCTATTGGTGATTGGTCCTCCTTACTAGCATCTTACACAGGAACTGAAGTAGCTGAACCGCATCAGAAGATGCAGTTGAATGAGTACAAATTAAATAACTAATATGCAGTTCAAAATTTAGCCGTGCTCGACGGCAGCTCAGAGAACCATATAGAACGAATCGTACCCTCTGTTTACCCAATGTAAAATACCCAACTACATAGTTTACGAATTTACGAATTTATTCAACACTGATATGCTTTTATTATCTGTTTTTTAAGTAAATTCGCGCGAACTTGTTCTCAATATATTTACTTACAAATCGTCACTTTATTGTCTAGGAATGGTTGTTTATTATATATAATAGGTTATTATACTAATTGTGTTATGATATTATTTGTTATTACATTACCATTATTAGTGTATATTTTATTTTCGATAACATCTCTATTATTCCAGGCAAACCTAGAGTTGTATATATTATAAAATACTATCGCAGCCATAACCCAAACCCTTAGATCAGGGAGATACTCCCTTACGTGTTCACCCTAAATCAGTCAAAGGTTGGACTGAAGCTCTCACAGCTCCCTAAGTTATTATGACGTAATCAGCTACCATAATGTCGGTACTAATAAAAATAATAAAAATTTAAATTATTTATGTATAAAACGATAACACTAAATCATAGAAACAAGGTATATGTAAGTTCTAGACGGGGGGGGACAGATATTTCTACTAAAACGGTAATTATAAACTATAATTAGGGGAATACGCATCTTTCTACTAAAACTAAACCAAAAACCCAAAAAAAGGGGGAATAGAATATTTCCACTAAAACGGTAATAATAATAAACAAAAAATTGGAAAAAACGAATATTTCGATATAAACGGTATTAATTTTGAACTGAAATTAGGGACAAACGTATATTTTTACTAAAACGGGTTATCTACAACTAAAATTGGGGGCAAGCGAATATCTCCACTAAAACGGTATTAATTTTATCTATAAATGGGAGGAAAACGAATATTTTCACTAAAACGGTATTATTTATAAACTAAAATTAAGGGGTAATGAATATTTCAACTAAAACGGTATTAATTATAAACTATAATTAGGGGAATACGCATCTTTCTACTAAAACCAAATGAATGTTGGGGAATAGAATATTTCCACTAAAACGGGAATAATTTTAAACAAAAAATTGGAAAAAACGAATATTTCCATATAAACGGTATTAATTATGAAATAAAATTAGGTACAAACGTAGTTTTTTACTAAAACGGGCTATTTACATACTAAAATTGGAGGCAAACGAATATCTCCACTAAAACGGTATTCATTTAATCAAAAATTAATTTAATTAATAAAACTAAAAGTAGGAAAACCAAATATTTTTCTACTGAAACAGTTAAAATGTATTATCGAAAATTACACTAACTACCACAACTCGGATAACATCACTAAACTAAATAAAACATCACTAAACTAAACTAAATAAAACATCACTAAACTGAGTCTAACTAAAAAAGAACTGACAGGACATTATTACAACAGGCACCTTACACTGAATTGGACACTGGACAATATCCTACTCTGAACCTCACCTCTTTATACTGGACATCTGTCCTAATATTATAATAACTCTAGCACTCTCTAGCACTTACGTAAAATATTTCTATCTTCCCTCAAAACTATAACGGCCCAGCGTGTTCCAAACAAGTGGTGGAACTTTAATAGCTTTCACTGCGAAACAATTAAAAAATCAAAATCAAAAGCAAAAGCAAAAGCAAAAAGCACCGCAAAACTACCCCGTCCAACTCGTCTACCTCTTCTGACGAGGAATCAGACGCTTCAAATACTTCTAGAGATTCAATTTTGAATCCTAGAAAGGCTGGGAAAGGGAAAGGGAGGAAAGGCCGTTACCTCCCCGTTACCGTTGCCGTTACCTCCCCGCACTGCAACATGGCGGTCAGCTTCAGACCTTCCTCCCGCAATTCAACAAGACATTTTGTCAACTTATGGTCACTATCAATTTTCAAAAATTTTGGACCCGCAAATTCGTGAACACATTGGGAAACGCAAACCCTCTAATTGAACTTTACTTTTGGCAAATTCTGTGGGAGGGTGTCTTGTGGACGCCTATAACCTGATTGTTTATGACGGTAGTAGGGCCCGTCCCAAGTACACCAGCCCGCTTAGGGAACATCTTGCCGCAGATTTACTTGCCGCAGATTGACCTGATGCCGCAGATTTCGCCCCCGCAAATTCTATTTTCAATTAAATTTATTTCATTTCTTCTTTTCATTCGCTTCTTTTTCAATCATTTTCCTTTTGTTTATTTCTTTCCATTCAATTCAAAAAACACAAAAACCAAAAAAATTTAAAAATACAAAATCAAAAAACAATTTAAAATACAAAATCCAAAAAAATTTAAAAATACAAAATCCAAAAAAATTGTAAAAAGCAAAAAACCCAAAAAAGATTGTAAGATGTTAATTAAAACGTAGAAGAACTACGTAAAGCCGCAGTACGCACGCTCTACAACCTTTTAACCGGTAATTTTTAACATAATTTGATAGAAATTTTCAAAGATTGAGATAATATTCACGATCTTATAATGTTATTCATCAAACTTATTGGTTTAATTATAATCATCATACTTATTAGTTGCAATTTAGTATTACTTGATGGTTTTTCTTTGATTCTTTGTTCGTGTTATAATGCTAATCATCAATCGGATTGGTAGAATTTTACATTATTTTGTTAACGGCTAATCCGGATCTTCACTTCACTGTGGCTCACTTCTACCTCCTTCTTCTAATGAGGTAAATACTACCAGTTATTAATACTGAAGACATTTTGTGAATAGATACTG